GTGCTTGACATCAAATTCCTTGACGCGGAGTGTGACCACTAAAGTATCGTTGTGCGGTGTCTGAATGTACTCTAAGTCCCTTGTAGAGAAACTGATCACGTCTTTTTCTTCGGTCTTCCCCCTCTTGATCGCGGGCTCGACTGACAAAACTTTCCTCATGTGTTCTGCCTTCTTGATCATACCTCGGAGCTCGCATACACGCGCCGGCTCCACTATGTCGTGGATGACATTAACAACTCCTTGTGGAGACGCCTCCAGGTCATCCGATCCACGCGGGTCAACCGGGGCTTGATGTGTGGGCTTCACACCCCCATCAATGTAAAGGTCCAAGTGTCCGGCCGCGACTAGCTCCTCCAAGTGTTGCTTCAGAGGCAAACAGTCCTCTGTTTGGTGTCCGCGCTCCCGGTGGAATGTGCAGCAGTACTGCGGATTGAAGCTTTTTTGCGCATCGCCTAACTTAGCAGGAAACCAAACGTAATCCTCGTCACGAATTTCACTAAGTATGCGATAGATTGAAATTTTAAAGACCGTGGTGATGCCCATCTGAGCTTTCAACCTTCTGTTTGCATCAGCTTCGTCGTCGCGGGGGTATTCATCTCGGTCATTCCGCCGACCCCTATCCCAGTTTCGACGATTTGAACTTCGGTCAGATTCCTCGGCGCGATCATTTGAACGGTTGGCCTCCTGTCCGACCGCGTGCACCTTGCCAGCCGACCTCTTGTCTGTTGCTACCGGAGTTGCCTTCGCGGTAGATCCTGCCGCATCATCTTCTACTCGGACGTGCTCGTTGATGCACAACATTAGTTAGCCCATGGATGTCGGATGGTGCATGGTAAGCAAGTCCCGCAGTCTATGTCCAACCTGGAGACCACGCTTATATTGTGTGATTGCCAGGTTGACCAGGGAATCTAAGATCTCGTTGAAGGTTTCTCAGTATCTGGAGTTGTATGCCTTGAGTGTGTCACTCGGCTCCATCTTGACACTAAGAAGGTGGTTAACTTCCTTTGGCGTTCTGGTGTTGGTTTTGAAACGCGTCACAAAGGCTTTCGCCAAGTGCTGCCACCTTTCGATGCTCCCCTTCGGCAGCCTCTCAAACCATTTCAAGCCCAGCTTGCCCAAACTTGACAGAAAGATAAGGCACATAAGAGCGTCATTCTGCCTATATCCGGCCATGACCTGTCGAAAGTGGCTGACATGCATGTATGGATCGGTCATTCCGTCGTAGAGCGTGAACTTTGGCTGGTGGAAGCCCGCGGGAAGCGGTGTTGTTTCTATTTCCAGGGAGAATGGAGTGGCACTCAGTCTCGCCAGATCTGTGTCTAGAAGGAGGGGCACAGCTGGGCGGGGTGGCGGCATTACGACTTCTTCACTGGCATGACCCCCGTAAGATAGCCACTGGAGCGCCGGCACCCGCTGAGTCTCTCGCCGGCGTGCCCGCTCCTTCAAGACTGCCCGTAAGTCCTCTGAGCAAGCGGAATAGGAATACCTCGACGTCGTCGCCGTACGTGAGGGCTGATAGGTACTGTCTTGCGCGCTAGACCTCTTTTCCGACGCGTCGGACTCTCTAACCTTGTAACTTCTGGTGATTGAGAGGGACGGAGTGTGCCGCTGGCCCTGACTGCTTGAACGGCGGGGTTAGGTGCGCTAACTGTGGTCTCCCACTCCAGCTACACCCTTCCCTTTGACATGCCGCTTAAGATCCTTCATCTTCGTCGCCATTCTCCGGATGACGGTGTCTTGGTCCCTTAGCTTGTGTTCTAGACGTTTGGCGTGTGATTCTCTCCGCCGCCGGTGACCGTCTGGACTCCGAGAATGACCAAAGCTTCTTCCGCGCTTATCCCGCGTGTCTCTTGAATGTCCTCCTGGAGAAGTCTCCAGGTCCGCCATCGGAGGAATGACGGGGTGTCCTTCTCTCTGTCTGGCTGACTCCGGAGTAACTCCGTCGATGGCGACAACGGAATCTCTTCGTTGTTCGCCATGGACGGTGATCAGATAAGCTGGGAAGACAAGGTTTTGTCTATCAAGTTCCCACAGACGACGCCAAATAAAGCCACCGGTCCCCGTGCCTTGCACATATTGTCCGCTTTGGCATTCCGACTGCACGGTTTTGTTCCTCTCCCACTGGGGGAAAAGGCCTATGCAAGGTAAGAGGAGCCAGCCTGCTTATAAGGTGGGAAAGTAGTCCCTCACAGATTGATGTGGGATTTCTCGCACATTAGCCCCCAGCTGCGCTGGCTCCGGTCACCTCGGAGGGAGTTTTCACAGACGGCGCCAATTGTACGGGGAGCAAATATTCCGGCGAAGTCCGTACTCCTTTCTACCAAGCTCCGTGTCTATCCGATCATCCTGCGAACACAACGGCGGTGAGCTATCCGGCGGTGTGTGGCCGGAAAACCCCTCCGAAGGTCAAGTTAGCATGCACTTAGGGATAGAGAGAGAGAGGAGAGAGTTCAGTGTTTAGTATATCTCACCAAATGATCATTTGCCTTAGCATGGGGGCGCAGACACGCTTATATACCTTCTGCGCCCCAAATCTACTCCTATTAGTCTCTCGACACGTGGTGCTGCTATCCCATCTGTCAGCACAAATCTAGCAATCACCACCTAACAAACTGTCAGGATATCTTGGCGGAGCCCGGCGGAACCACCTTGGCTTCTTATGACCGCGCTGCACGGCGTACCTGAGTGATCCACTCGCCGAGCCCTAGAACAACCGAGCTTGGTTGCATTTTGGCAAGCCGAGCTCGAGGTAGGTCAAACCGGTTAGCTGGGTCAAACCGGTTAGCTGTAGGCCTTCCTGCCGAGCTGAACGCACGAACCGTGGAATCCGGAATGGCAGGCAGTCATCTCGGCCGAGCAACTTCAAGTAGCCCGGTTTCTACACAATGAGCCCAAGTAGCTCGGCCCAACATGGCCCTGTGCCTTAACCAAGCAAAACCTCTCTGGACAAGCCCAAGATACCGCGGCCCAAACGTGTTCGGCACTCAACTTGCCCGGCCTTTGCCATGGCCCATTTCAGCTCATAAAATCCCCCTCTCACTTACTATGATGTAGACAGGCTCTTATGGTTTTGAAGTTAAGCAAATGGAAAAGTTGATTTAGGTTGGTGTTACTTGCACAGCCCAAAACAAAGGCATAACGATGCCTATGCAAGTGGTGTCAGTTGACACCATTGAACTTTGAATTTTCTTTCAAGTAAACACACATTAATGTGTACTATTTGGGCATTGTTTTTTTAAGTGTAGAACTTAATCCAAAAGTTTAGAGGTTACACAAACTGACTTACGAATTGATCCAGTGGCGTTGGCACTGGTAGTGGGTGCGGGAGAGGGGGGGGGGGATGTTTTTTATTACATTTTATGTTTTTTAGAAACTGATCCATTAGGCCGTGACTAGTCCTGACTCTAGTGCTCTCTCTCTCGGCCCTTTGTTCTCTCTCTTGCTCTCATGTGTTTGTTCTAGGGCTGTACACGGGTCGAGTCGGACCGGGTTTGGTACTGGCCCATCACTCGAATTGATTTTGTCAGGTAGAAAATTTCATCAACCAATTCCGACCGTACTAGTAGTCGAAACCGTACTATTTGAAACCGACATGGCCGGTCGGATTTTTGCCCGAACCATTAGGCCAAAAATGATAAACTTTGCTCTCTCTCTCTTCAAACCCAAAGTTGGATGGATTTGGGAGAAGAGTTCAAGAAAAAGAAAAATAAAACAAAGAAAACTATAAAGATGTTCAGATTTGGGAGAAAAATAGAAAAGAACACAGATAGATCCATACATATTCCCATAAATCTTCACATAGATTTGAGTGAGGAGTTGAGAATTAAAAAAAAAAAGAGAAAGAACAATCTACAAATTTGAGTGAAAAAAATAAAATAAAGATGTATCTAAACATAGATCTGAGCATTATCGTTACCTTCATCATAAATCTGAGCAGATCTAAGCATTACCATCATCATCACCATCAACGTTGAATAGCATCATTGTCACCGTCGACTACAAATTTCACACAATCGCCACCAAGAGTGGGAGATTAAAAGGGCAAAAGGGTTTTTGTGAAGGGAGACTAGAGAGTAAGAGCATGAGAGAGAACTGTGAGAGGTAGATGAGTAGGTGATAGGTGAGACCATGAGAGATACTAAAGGGGAGAGAGATGAGCGTGAGATTCAAAGTTGGAGTAGAAAGAGGTGAGATGATAAAGCTGTCTTGGAACAGATGAATATAATCGGTGGAATTGTGGCATGGCATACTTAGCATCAGATATATACATCGGTTTGGTCGGTTTCAACGAATTTCCTTTGGCACACCCGTCGCTCGACCGAAAAATGAACAAATTTGCAGAATAAGGCCCGCTTTTGACCGTTGGAATTTTGAAATTGTTGGCAGCAAGCTTAGTTTGGTCGGTGTGAGTTGGGTTTTTCGGATGAATCGGTTATCTGTACAACCCTAGTTTGTTCTACTCCAGCGAGTAATAACCACTTTGAAGGTCTTCATTTGTTCACTGAATGACCTCATTGAATGAAATTTTTGGCTACGTCACTGGCTCAAAACCAATATAATTGTGGTTTTGCTTTTAGTGAAGTTTTGTAATTTTTGATGTAATCTAATCATTAGTCACGTAACACTTTTAGGCAATCAGAAAGTCACCACTGGTTTGGACTGATATATTTGTTTTATTTTATTTTTATATTTGAATGCATATATTATGTTTCTATGCGTAGGTCAACTGTCTCTGTTCGCATTTTTTTGGAAAATGAATTTGTATAGACTGCTAGAGTGCGAACAATCACACTATATGATTGGTCCAAAATTGTGGGCTCCATATTCAAAAGTGTATTGACCCCACCTAAACTTATGGGCTCCACAGTTATGGACCAATCAAAATATACTTTTTGTTCACACATCTTGTTAGGTGTGTGAACAAAATTGGTCTCATTTTTTTGGGTGTAGGCCAAAAGAAAAAGAAACTAATATGATCAAGGGTTACTTCTCTTAATTAGATAATCTTCATGTGGGAGACAATGGAACAAAGACATTGAGACAATTACAAGCGGATGAGGAGGATGACATAAAAAAAGCTGTATGCCAAAGCCTTGGTAAATTTTCTGTTATCAATTCATGTATACAACCACTTTATTGTAATTTACAATTTTTTTTTTTTTTTGCCAACTGTGTCAAATATCACTAGATATTTTTATGGCCACCAGCAGTTTGCTTGAGTGGTATTTTCAAGCACCTTCATTGGGTGCAGGGTTTTGGGATGTGCATGTTTTGTTATTTATATAAATTTTAGGACTGCAGCACAGATAAACCTTACAATTAGGATTCGTATGTTGGTTTTGGAACTATAATGCCATTTACTTGTATAAGATGAGATTAAAGTTTATATATTTTCTGATTGAGACTAACTTGATGCCTCATAACATATGCCTCTCTATAGTTTCCAAGTTCTGAATCTCTGACTGAGCTTCAATTCTCAATTTTAGGTTATTGATCCAATTCTAGGTGAAATAATATTCCCTTGACCTCTGGGAAAGTGGTGCTTCTTTATGCATATTCTGTATAATTCACAAATTATAAAGGTGTATGGCTAGACCCGAAAGTAGATATTGGAACCTGAACCAATTATATGAAAATTTTGAACCTTATGTTTTGGCATTCTTGGAAAGCAAACACCATTTTTTGCTTCAGAATGTGAAATAGGATTTGTACACCCAATTTAATTAACTGTGGCAACCTTGTTTATAAAAAATGATGAAAACAGTGGGGATAGATTCATGGTAACGTTTAGTTAGCAAGTTTTCTTAAACATATGGTAACGTTTGGTAGAATCAGCAAGAGAGAAGAATCTCAATTTTTATGTTTGTTGTAATACACCTTTTCTTTTCTTTTGTTGTTTGTATTAGTGTTTGTTGGATATTTATGTTTGATGTTTAATTCTTTAACTTGCTTTTGATGTTTTGAGATGTTTAAACTTAAATATTGGTGCTTTTAAATATTTGTTTTTGTTTTTGTTGATTATTTTGAATTTGGAATGATATGTACTTTTATAGCTTTGGGAATTTTTCTACAATTTGCCTTAGTTCTTTTATTTATATATTATTTTTAAATCTTTGACTCAGTGCTTATTATAAGTTGTGAATTCTTTATTTTGCTTATGTTGAAGTTTGAATTACTAGTCTATGTTGATTTGTCTATTTTTTACTCAAAAAGGCGTGCCTTGCTTCAACGAAGCGCGCGCCTTGCCTTGTGCCTAAGCTATAAGAGACTTTCGGTGCCTTGGTGAACCTTGAGCCTTTAAAAACACTAATGTGTTTTATGTGTATCTAAACGATAGACACGTGCGTACCCGAAGTGTTGGGAGCCAGGAGCACAATTTTGTTTCTTTTCCATTGAAATGGCCTAAATGTTTTCGTTTTTTAAGAAACCAAACAAATATTAGTAGAATACCAAAATTCCCATATGTTTTCACCAAAACACTACAATGAGTTGTTTCAACGAGGAGAAGATAAAGCAATCATGATTAAGCCCTTGTTTGGGAACTTGGCTATTGGGCTATTTTATGAGAGGAAAAAGAAGTTTTGTTTGGTATGATTTGTGGATTTTTTTTTTTTTTAATTATTTTTTTGTAGTTGAATAGATGATTGTGAGAGAAAAAGTGATTGATTGATGTGTACGATGTGACATTTTGTCTTATTGGTTATTTTAGTCTTTTTTAGACAATCCATTTGATGAGACTTAACGCTTGGTTTGGTTTGCTTTGTCTATTTTAGCATTTTTTTTGTCTTTATTAACTATTTTAGCCGAAATAGATCATCCCAAACACCTCCTAAGTTACTCATTCTCTTTCTTTGTCACTGCAAAGTACTTTTTCATCGCTACTACTATAATTTTTCATTTTTTTTTTTTTTTTTTTTGACAATGGCAAATCATTTCCCCAATTAAGCCTTTAAATATTTGTTTATGAAATTCACTCGTAGATCTCAACATGTTAAACTATTTAATTGTTCAGAATGCATTAACATTTACATTGGTAAATGTTTCAGGTATGCATTATATAGCCATGCAGGCACTTATTTTCTTCATACCTTGTTTCTAACTTTTTATGTATGGTACTAGTTATTTCTAAATTTTCATCCATAATTTTTTGACCTGCTTTTGGCTCTCAGTTCTCATTAACGTAATTTCTTTTTGAAAGCTCTTTGATTTCTTTACTTCTATCTATAATGGCACCTAGCAATTTTGTGTTACGGATTATCTATGAAGCACAGGTACGGGTACGAGTACTAATACTGGTACGATACGGGTACGTCGATACGATAAAATTCAAAAAAAGTATGGTACGGGTACGGGTACGGGTACGGCTTGGTGCGTTTGTAAAAAAATATTTATTTTTAATTTAGAGTAATGCAAAAATTAGTTAAATGGTTTAATTTGTTAAGATCCAATCTATAATTAACATTTAATGCCAAAAGTAGAGGTATAAATCAAAATTAAATGTCAATATATTAAATAACTTACAAACCATAATTTGATTTTAAAATCATGCTAAGTATAAAACTAAAAAATATAAAAGAAGTCCGGTGAAAGTAGTTTTATCGTTGTAGTAGAAGAAAATATTGTTTCAATTGAGGTATGGTATGGCTTGGGTATATACTAGATACATTTGGGTACACAAAAAATTGAGAAGAAAAAATTTGGATATGTGTTTCGTGTATCCGGTACGTATGCAGAAGTACCATACAACGTACTATACGCCGGTAATTAGCCGGTACGGCCACGGCATGTTTTTCGAAGTATCTATGCTTCATAGTGGATTATGCTTTTTGGTGTTTCTTTATTTAAAGTCCAGTTATCTGCCACTACCGTACCTACGTCGTGTTTTGGAAAAATAATGAATTGGAGAACATCATCAATTGTCACTTTGTTTTGGCTTATTATTCTGCAGGTTTTCATTAACATATATTTCAAACAAATTGTTGAAGGGACTTCCCCCATTTCTCTCTGCAGGGAGAGGCTTTGTTGATCACAGCTTAGTGAAATTGAATCTCATTTAAAACCATTGTTTGGTTTTTCAATCTTGTTGGATAACTAAGTTTCCTACATATCTTTAATTGGTTCTTCTTGCTTTGCAAACATTAATTCTATTGGTTTGCCAGTAAAATAGTTGGAAGAAGTTATATCACGCTGGTCAGCTGCTTGTATTGGTGCAAGCTTTTGCAATAATGTCTTATGTATGTGTAATATTTGTCTTATTAATGTACACTAATGCACTTGCCCATCCAAAAGAGAAGCATGCCAATATGAAAGTTTTAAACGATGTATTATGTGGTTGATTTTTTCTTGCACAAATTTATTGCTTATCAAGGTTTTTGCTTTTGGTATATCATTGAATAGTGCAGAATTGAGCACAATTAATTGCATTGTGTGTGATAGGAACACGAGATTCTGTTTTGGTCAATGGAGCTGCAGACAGACAACAAGGGTGTGTTTGGTTTGGTTTTGGGAGATAAATTTTCAAAAAAAATATTGGGGAAAGAAGGAAAGAGTTTAGAATTTTTTTTGATTTGTTTGGTTGTATATTTTGAAAATAGTTTTGGAGTATGGGAGTTTTGGGATGATTTGATATTTTGTTGTAGTTGAGTAGATGTGTGTGAGAGAAAAAGTGATTGAGAAGGAGAGAGGAGAGAGGAAGTTATTGATTGATGTATAGGAGAGAGAAAGTGATTTTGGAAATTTTTTTCGAAAATTGTGTTTTGAGAGTTAGACCAAATAAGGTGTTAAAATTCACCTACTACACACCTACCACTACCACCTACTACACACTCACCTACTTCACCTACTCTCCACCTACTCCTCACCTACTCCACACTCACAGGGGTTCATAATAATAGATAGGGTGTTTTTTTTATTTAAATTGGTATTAGATGGAGGCAATTTATATAGTTTATCAGCCCATGTTACTGCTTTATTTTTGCGTAGGTGTAAGGTTTCTCTGAATTTTTCTGTCAATGGTAGAGGCCAGCATTGGTACATTTCTTTTTGGCTATGCTTGGGTGGTGGTTGTGCATTGCACTAATTTTTTCTTAGATTGCATCTTACTTTGTTAATACTCTTGTTCTTGTATGCATTTTGACAAATCAGATGTACTAGGATTTCCCCCCCTTAAGGCAGTATTCTTTAAATGTAACCTGCTTCAATTGTGAGTTCTGGATCATTTTGAGACTTCAGATGCTAAGAAGCTGGTTTGGGTCTGTGCTTACGATTGCATTTATTTTCCCCATTTGTTTGAGTTTCCATGAAGCCAAACATCGGGGATCATTTCAGTGTTGGATCTTGTGGTAGGAAGGTCCAAGCTGAGGGTTAGCTTAGACGAAAATCTCATTTTTCTCCAAGGGAGTGAAGCTGACCATAACTAGCAGCTCCATATATTGCTTTTCTTTTAACCATTTCTCTTTGATGACATCAGTTGCCATTAGGTAACACTCTGTTTGGAAGTAACATACTTTTTTCATAAATTGCATTCCATATTTTCTGACGTTTGGTTGTTGTTTGTTGATGAAATTGTGTATTTGTGTGTAAAACATCTTCTTCAAATGGCCTGAAATTGACTTTCCCTAATAAGCATGGACACGTGACATGACACTAGCATGGAAATTTTCAAAAAATGTAAGACACGACACGCGAGGCACACATGTAAACTACATAGTTTTATATATTAATATATGGCATATATAATAGAAGGATAAATAATTTTTGCCATATATATTAAAATTTAATTCAGTTGTAACGATTTTTAAAATCTAAAGGAGGAGAATATTTATAAATTTGTTTGTGTGTGTGTGTGTGCTTTTTTTATATTTTATTTTTTATTAGAGTCCAAGTTATTTTTTTTTTCAAACTTGTGTAATGTCTTTCATAGACATTTAAGTGAGACACACGTGTTCCTCAAGAGTCTAAAGTGTTCGAGTCTAGAAATTTTTAGAAAATAGTTCAATCATGCCAGAAAGACGGTTGAGGCCAACGAGGTAGTGTTTGTAGTTTCAAGCCTGTCATAGCTACCTTTGTGTCAGTGCATTTACCAGCAACTTGAGCAGAGTTGTTTACCTTGTTCCTTGAAGTTGCTAAAGTGTACTCTGCAGTTGCATTTGTCTTGTTCCCCATACACATTTCACGCACACCAGAAATTTCCCTTGATCTCAAGTTCAGGGATGACACAAAAGATGTATTCTGAAATGGATGACCTGGGTGTTTCAGTTAATGAAGGCACGCCTGAAAATGTGAATGCAGCAGATGTATATGGCACCGGCCTGAGGAATGACGTTGGTGAATACAATTGTTTTTTAAATGTTATCATACAGGTTGGTTATTGAGAATGTGTAATTTCTATGGGTAAATCCATTTTTGTAGGACTGTCTTCTCTGTGACCTGAAATTTTTGTTTCTTGTGAAATTTTAGTCACTATGGCACTTAAGACAGTTTCGAGATGAATTCTTGCGTAGATCAACATCAGAGCATGTTCATGCTGGAGATCCTTGTGTTACCTGTGCATTATATGATATTTTTACCGCCCTGAGCAAGGCATCCACAGACATGCGAAGAGAAGCTGTGGCCCCTACTTCTCTGAGGATTGCTCTGAGCAACTTGGACCCGGATGAAAATTTCTTTCAGGAGGTCAGACAACCGTGTTCCTTATATCTGGCTATTGTTGTTACTTGCACTTCAATTTGTCCTCTCATCGTATGCTCTAAAACCATGCATTTGGATGAAGGGTTAATGCTACAAAAAATTCTAACTAATATGGCTTCAACTGACAGGCTCAGATGAATGATGCTTCTGAAGTGTTGGGAGTAATATTTAACTGCCTTCATCGTTCATTTACATTTAGTTTGGGTGTTTCTGATACCGACTCAATAGAAAGCAATTGCACAGGCTCATGGGATTGCGCAAACACTGCTTGTATAGCACATTCTCTTTTTGGAATGGACATTTTTGAAAGGATGAATTGCTTTAATTGTAGATTGGAGTCCAGACACATGAAGTACACTTCTTTCTTTCATAATATTAATGCCAGTGCCCTTCGAACAATGAAGGCATGTCTCTATACAATTGCTCATTTTGCTGTGGTGGAATCACTCTAGTGTTTCAGAAAGTCATTAAGTTTCTGTGTTGGGTAATATAGTTAATTCACTTATATTTGTTGATTTTGAGTTGGTTCTTTACTTTTCAGGTGATGTATGCAGAAAGCTCCTTTGATAAGCTTCTAAGCCTTGTGGAGATGAATCATCAGCTAGTTTGTGACCCTGAGGCTGGTGGCTGTGGGAAGCTTAACTATTTTAATCATACTCTTTCATCTCCACCACATGTTTTCACAACAGGTAGCTGCAAAGTTGTGGAGAGAATTGTCACTCTGTCACTTAAAGCAGTACGGCTTGTAAGAAATTCAAATTTACATGTGGTTTGTATCTTGCAGTTCTGGGTTGGCAGAAGACTCGTGAGAATGCCAAGGACATAACAGCAACATTAGCATCTCTGGCAACGGAAATAGATATTGGTGTCGTTTATCGTGGACTTGATCCTAATAACAGACATTGTTTGGTCTCGGTGGTATGTATATATAATAAAACCTAAATACGAGTTTCCATTGTGCATTTGATTATATATATATATTTTTTTTGATGATTGTATATTTTTTGAAATGCGTATTTACATCTATGGAAACAAACATTTCCTTATCACTTTTTTCTTCTTTTTCTATAATTCCTTAAGGCTGTGTTTGGATCAAAGAATTGTCACTTTTTCCTTTCCCTTCACAAATACTCTCTCAAATCCTTGATCCAAACGTAGCCTAAAAGAAACAGGAGCTTTCTTTTTTTGGGGAATAAATCAAGGACAGCTTCAAATAATTTTAATATCATTTAATATTCTAATAAAGATTTGAATCAAAATTAAGAACACAAAAATGCCGGGAGCTTTTGATAATAGATAATTTAGTTGACAGAGAGGTCCTGATGAACTGGTGCTGCATGAAAAGTGGTAGACAAGTCATCACCACCTTTGGTGTTGATTTATTGGTAGAAGCTAGGGCATTATGGCTAATTATGTTGATGCCCTTTGTTGTGAATCGGGTTTTTCAACTTCAGTGGTGGAAACACTTGAAGATGGGGTTAGGAGTTAGGGGCATGGGTTGGACAATCGCTCTGCTTAGTCTCACATGATGCATTGCATTGGGAGTTGAATTGTGATGCTTTTGAATATACAAAGATTCGGTTTCACAAGTTGAAGGCATTGTTTTGTAGTTTCCTATATTGCTGGAACACTGGGCTAGGGTTTTGGGGAATCCTAACCTTATGCTTTACTCTTGGTTTTCTGTATTTCTTCTTCTTCTTGTGTGGTTCTCTCTTTTTCTTGTGTTGCTCTTTAGTCGAGAGTTTAAAGGGTTGCTTAAAAGGAAAGAGCTGTAGCTCAAAGCAAGAGCTGAATTTATACCAGAACACTTAAAAGAATGCTTTGATGAAGTACTTGAACTTGACTAACCTAAAATACCAAATTAGTAAATGGATTAATTGTCCATTTCAGTTTATACTAAAATTATCATTTGTCATTTGAAAAGAATACCATGTTGTAACAAGGATAGTCTTCATTAGATTCCAATTATGTTGTAACAAGGAAAGTCTTTCTCATCGTACCACATTTTAGAATATGTGGTGTAGCAACCACATTTTTTTGTCACATTTGTTAATGACATCATGATCTTAAGATAAAGCTACTGAATCCAAGCCAATTATGACCTTTATTTAGTCCTTTTTGAGCCTTCAACTCGCTTCTAGTCTCTCCTTCATAATGGTTTAAGTTGCTTATAGCGATGAAAAGTCACTCTAGTATAATAAACAGGGAACAAAATTTCCAACATCTATCGAGTTAGGCTATGTGTTACTGCCTTTTGGTGTTTTCTCTACATATATTCAGATTTTTGAATAAATTATTGTTTAGTTTCTGACATTGGATATGCATTACTTCATCCTACTTTTTTTTATTGTTCCTTTTAGGTTTGCTATTATGGGCAACATTATCATTGCTTTGCCTATAGTCATGATCATGAACGGTGGGTGATGTATGATGACAAAACTGTAAAGGTAAAATTCATTTCGTTCGTATACTAGTTAATTGCATTATACTTCTATTTATTTTAGTTTGACAATCCATATTTTGAAATCCAGGTAATTGGTAGCTGGGATGATGTTCTTACCATGTGTGAGAGAGGACATTTGCAACCTCAGGTTCTTTTCTTCGAAGCTGTAAATTAGTGTTTATTCGAAATCCATCACCTTGTTTGGTGCACTTGGAGAAGCTCGGGTGTCGTTTTAGTAAAATGATAAGTTGCTGCCTGAGCTCCACAGAGTCCTGCAAGTAAAGCTTGCGATATTTGTTAAGAAGTCAAGTAAAGTTTTGATATACACAATAAAATTTGTGACATGAACTAGGAGCCTTGTTATAGAGGTTTTGTAGGAGCAACTGGTTTTCTCAGAGGCACACGACATTTGAAAAAAAACAAAAAAGTTTTGATTGTAGAATGAAGAAATAAAGCAATTGAAGAGCCCAATTGTAAATTTTTGCTACTAGGAGCATACAACAGTCGTACACAGGGAATACTAGTTATTTAGATTCAGTAGTCTGCTAGATTGTTTTTGCTATATAATGACGTCGGTTTGTATAGATTGCAATGGCTCCTTTGGGTTAAATTCTGCAGCATTTTGTTGTTCCCCTTCTGTGTAGTTAAGGCTGTGTTTGGATTTAGGATTTGAGAAGAGGTTTGTAGAGGGAAAGAAAATAAGATAAGGAAAATATAACAAAAATTTAGCTTATATTTCATTCACTATTCCCTTTCTATTTACTTTCCCTTCATAAATTCTTAATCCAAAATGGTCGTCAGAACTTGTAGTATGCCCTGATAACGCTACTGGAAGAATGAATACATCTCTTTTTCTTTTTTTTTGTTCATGCTTTAAAATTTGGCGCGTGTAATACTCTCTCCGTTCCATTTATTAGTCCATTACACTTTAAATTTGCAAGTTTCCAAAATGCCCCTTATAAATAAATTTAAAAATAAGAATTGAAGGGTATTTATTGAATTAGTACTTAAAATTTGAATTCGAAGTGTAATGATTATTTGATTCTTTAAAAAATTGAAAATTTTCGAATGGGATTATTAAAATGGCCCTGAGGGAGTATTTTATTTAATTAGCATTTAATTTTAGGGCAATTGTTGCTATTTTGTTCAACAATTATAGTGAATTATGTACAGATATTTTTGTATATAGATCCCAAAAGGCTATACAGTGGATGAAGTTGGGGTTCCATCTCAAGTCTCCAACACAAGGAGATTTCACAAGCTAGGTTGGTCTGTTATGATGCTTCCTAAGTGGTCCATTACAAAATGAATAACGATAGGATGTTCAAAATTTATTTTTTATTTTATTATTATTATTATTTTTAATTTTGGAAATCTTTGCTAGGTAGGGGAGGTTATCATTTTGTTTCACCGTTTTTTTTATTTTATATTTATTATTACAACGCTTGCTTCGGAGTATGGGAAAGACTGGCAAATAGCAAAACTTTTACTCCACTTCTTAAGGGAATGTAGTCTTATAGGACGCGTTTGGTATAATTTTTTTTAAGTAAAAAAAGATAATTACATAGAGTGCTGTTATTAGCACCTCATAAATTATTTTGAACCCCTTAATTTTTAACTTTTTTTTATTACAATAATAACCTACACTAATTTTTAGCACCTAAAAAGGACATCATTAATTTTGGGATATCTCATCTCACAATTAAACTTACACATCCATTACATAATGAATTAGGGTTTATGAGAGTACCCACCTCCATCACCGCTCATCCATCTTTCCTAAATCTCACATTCAAAGCCTACCTACCTATCTATCATCAAAACCTTGAAAACCCTCTAATGGCAATATTCTAGCAGTAACAGTGGCAATCATTTGAATACATACACTTCTCTGGCAATAACAATGAGTGGAAGTTTTTTAAGTAACCACAACTCCATAAGACGAGAGGAGTACAACAATAAAACCTTAATAGTTTTGATGTTGTTCTTAATTTAAAAGAGATTGGCCTTGTAAAAGTAAGTTTCTTAAAAAAAATGACAAAAATAATAAAATCTGTTTGTCATTTTTTTGGGACTGAACTCCCAAACATATGACTGAAATTCGGGAACATAGGCTCGAATATTGTTTATTTATTCGAGAACCAGTAATCGAACATTTATTATTTATTCGGGAATACAAGTTTGAATATGGAAATTTCTTAACACATTGAACGGTTAAAATTGTTAACGCTTGCAGAAGTTTTTATTTTTCAAGTTCGAAAATACAGGCCCGAACCTCGAACAAATAAGTAATGTTCGGGAATGCAGGTCCAAACATGAAAATTTCTTAATACATTAAATTGTCAAAATTTTTAACACTTGCAGAAGTTATCGGAAGTAGCCCAAATCCATTATCAGGTTCAAAAGTTATTCCTTCATTGCGTAACTTTGATAATATTGTTGCGTAGTTCTCTACTGAACTCACAATTTTATAATATTTACCAACAAAACTAACCAAAACTATCTATATTACTAACAAATTATTGATAAAAATAGAATTAAGTGCTTTGTGAATTAAAATTTTAAGAGAATTCAATATAATTATGTTAAAATTGTACAATTTATTTTATTTTCTTTAATTACAAAAATTTGAAACAATTAATTACCAAAATTTGAGAAATCAAAACAATTGTACTGGGATGAAATTCACCCATTCAATTGTGACAATGCTCCTCCCTCTTTCTATCTTTAAATTCCTCTCCTTTTCTCTCTCCTCCCTCTCCTCTCCTCTCCTCTATCTTCCTCATGCTCTCCAACCGTTGGCCACCCCTACCCCACCCTCTACAATCAACCTCACCACCTCGAGTCCCATCTAATCCTCCCTCACCTTTTCCCAACCCCTCTTCCACGAGTAAATTGAAAAAATTATTATATGACTTCATCATCAATTAACAAGAAATATTTTATATTCATAAGAACTATATGATTAAATTAATGAGATATCCCACCAAACCTTATTTACATTTGTATTAATAAGTAATATAAGGCATTAATTGCACCTTTATTTTTTTCGTTACCACATGTTATTGTACATAACTCTTACATGAGTGGGCTCTATATATTTGCGCAACTCATTTTTATGATGAGGATTGTAGAATTTTTTGTACATAAGAATTTCAAATATACCACATTGACATTAATTAATGTGACATGAAGTATAGCAATGTATATTCGTACACTTGCTCTAGCCCATTAAATAAGATTTATCATCTCTTTTGCATTTTTTTAAAAAAAAAAAAAACTAATTATACTACAATTATGTCATACTGAATCTTGAAAGAATTTGCAATGAGCATCTTTTTTTATTTTTTTTTCTCTAAAATAATGTTGTGATAATTTAATGATCTAAATTTAAAGTGAACTGAAATAAAATGTCATCTTGATGGATTGAGATCCCCTTTATTACATCATTTAAGAGTTGTAAAATAATTATGAGAATTTATTAATATTTTAAATTTAGAAAGAATCATTATAAGCCCCTAGATAATGTAATAAAGATCTTCCATTGCAACTTTGGAATGGAAAGTATAACAATTCCATTTTGATGTGTATAGTTCGGAATAAAAATGTAGCATGTATGGTTTAGAATAAAAATGAAGGCCTTATTTAGTTTGTTTTTGAGAAATAAATTTTGAAGAAATTTTTTTAAAATTTTGTTTGGTTTAGTGATTTTGAATTTTTTTTTTTCCAAAATCATTTTGTCTTTCCTACACATCAATCAATCACTTTTTCTTTCTTTTCTCTCCTTCTCAATCACTTTTTCTCTCACACATATCTACTCAATTATAATAAAATATCAAATCATCCTAAACTCTCATGCAAAATTTTATTTCCAGAGGCCTAAATAACTCAAGGAACGCACTTAATGAATTTTTAATTTAATGAAAATTATACCTTAAACCTTAATGACCATAATACATATACAAAAATTCTCTGTACACATCTTTTAAGAACAAAAAAATCTCAATATACACATTTTGAGTTAAAAAAATAAACCCTAATTTTTTTTTCCATTGTTGTCTGGGCGAGAATAGTTTTCCTAGCAATAATGATAGAGACCACTAATTTTAGAGCTCTAAAAAAACCACTAATGACATGGCACTCAGTAAAAAAAGAAAAAAAATACAATACCAAGGCCAAAATATCAAATCATTCATGGTAGAACTTACTGCCACATCATTAGTGGGAATACTAATTAGTGCTCCCACTCATTTTCCTTTTCCTAGAGATGATTTGATTCCCTCTATCATCCAATGCAACCCCTGCTTTTTTAGAATGCTGTTGATTCCATGCTACATCTATAACAAACCTGTCAAAGAGTGGATTTGAGGAGCATTGTGCACTGTTATGTTAGTAATAAAAATAGAATTCAAACCATTATAAACGGCCGTATTAATTTGTGGTGACCACAATTTGAAAATCTGTTTACTGCAATCCCAATTCATGTGGTTAATTGCGAAGTGGAGGTGATTTTGGTTTTAATTCAGAGAACTAGTGTTGAATTTATGGATTAAATTTGGATATCAACCGCCGAAATATTTACTTGCTTCATTCGGAATGTAACCGTTGAATATTATAACTATTTTCGACTCTATTCAGTCGATCTATAACAGTTTATTCGGTTGTTGATTTTCGAATTTGGTGCACAAATTCGGCAAACTAGTGCCGACATCCCCAACCCATGAACATGGAAAAATCAAGAATTTTGCGGCAATGAAGTGTACAAATATCTGAAAATGATAAAATGTAATAACAAAATGATAAATATAAAAACAAAATGGGAAGATTCTTTACCTTCAACACTATTTTAGAGGTTTTCAATGGAGGTTTTCATGGAGGTCTTCCGTGGATGGCTTCAATGGATTCACTTCAGACATGGGAGGTTTTCACTTCAATGGAGGTTTTCAAGTTCACGGGTAGCTCAAGAATGTAATCTTCAGACTAGTGTAACTCATTTTTATGATGAGGATTGTAGAATTTTTTGTACATAAGAATTTCAAATATACCACATTGACATTAATTAATGTGACATGAAGTATAGCAATGTATATTCGTACACTTGCTCTAGCCCATTAAATAAGATTTATCATCTCTTTTGCATTTTTTTAAAAAAAAAAAAAAACTAATTATACTACAATTATGTCATACTGAATCTTGAAAGAATTTGCAATGAGCATCTTTTTTTATTTTTTTTTTCTCTAAAATAATGTTGTGATAATTTAATGATCTAAATTTAAAGTGAACTGAAATAAAATGTCATCTTGATGGATTGAGATCCTCTTTATTACATCATTTAAGAGTTGTAAAATAATCATGAGAATTTATTAATATTTTAAATTTAGAAAGAATCATTATAAGCCCTTAGATAATGTAATAAAGATCTTCCATTGGAACTTTGGAATGGAGAGTATAACAATTCCATTTTGATGTGTGTAGTTCGGAATAAAAATGTAGCATGTATGGTTTAGAATAAAAATGAAGGCCTTATTTAGTTTGTTTTTGAGAAATAAATCTTGAATTTTTTTTTAAAAAATTTTGTTTGGTTTAATGATTTTGAATTTTTTTTTTTCCAAAATCACTTTGTCTCTCTTACACATCAATCAATCACTTTTTCTTTCTTCTCTCTCGTTCTCAATCACTTTTTCTCTCACATACATTTACTAAGCCTCCGTTTGGGAAGTGGGTTGGCTTTTTGGCTTTTTAGCTTTTTTGGCTATTT